TCTTCGATTGTGTGCAAATTGGAGGAGATTTTGTGGGATGTTTCTGGAATTTTGAAGGGGTTGTTGCTTACATTTTTATCAATTTCAGTGGAGGTTTCTGCCTTCCCTAGAAAACACCTTTCCTTTCAAACCAAGACACCTCAGATATCTGGCTTGACTTCTAGAGATGGTTTTGGAGCGAGAGACATTCAAACTCAATGTACTCTTCCCCTGTTTTACCCATACCAGGATTTCCCAATCCCAGACCTTGTCTAGATGGAAGAGGAGGCTGTGAGGAAGAGGAAGATGCCCCAGGACACCCAGGCAGGTGAGGAGGAAGTCAGTGCCCCTTTCCCCCTCTCTCCTGCTCCATCTCCCAGCCCAGCATGGCCCCGGCTGCAGGACAACCCCGCTGCCGACACCGTCCTGCTGGGGACGCACTGGGGGGATCTTCTTCCCCTTCCCTCTGGCACGGAGGCAAATCCCATCCTCTCCTTGTCCTTCCTCCCCCAGACAAGGAGCTGAGGATGGAGACCAGGGAGGACAAATTCCTGGGGCAGAACCTCATGGAAGAGGCCGTTTTGAGCAGCTCCACAGTGCAGGAATCCAATGGGGAGGAAAAGCCCCGGAGATCCCACAGGAGGAGGGGCTCCAAACCCATCCCAGGGTGCTCTGAGGAGGAAAGACCCACCCTGTGCCGGAAAGGTGACCAGAGATCAAGCCAGGGCTCTGAGCTGGTGGTCCATGAGCAGCTTCAGGATGGGGAGAAGCGCTACAAGTGCTTGGAGTGTGGGAAGAGCTTCAGCCACAGCAACAGCCTGATCTGCCACCAGATGATCCACACTGGGGAATGGGCCTACGAGTGTGGGAAATGTGGGAAGGGCTTCAGCTGCAACTCCCAGCTCGTCATCCATCATCACATCCACATGGGGGTGAGGCCCTACGAGTGTCCTGAGTGTGGGAAGAGGTTTCGGAGGAGCTCAGATCTCCTCGTGCACCAGCGGATTCACACGGATGAGAGGCCCTTCCGCTGCCCCGACTGTGGGGAGGGCTTCAAGTACAACTCCAACCTCATCAACCACCGGCGCATCCACACTGGGGAGAGGCCCTTTGAGTGTGGGGAATGTGGGAAGAGCTTCCGCCAGAGCTCCAGCCTCATTACCCACAAACGCATCCACACTGGGGAACGGCCCTATGAGTGTGGGGAATGTGGGATGACCTTCAGGTGTAGGTCCCAACTGATCATCCACCAGATGATCCACACTGGGGAGAGGCCCTACGAGTGTCCCGAGTGTGGGAAGAGGTTTCAGGAGTGCGGGAAGGGCTTCAAGGAAAGCTCCCACCTCTTCAGGCACCGGCGCATCCACACTGGGGAGAGGCCCTATGAGTGTCCCCAGTGTGGGAAGAGCTTCTCCAGGAGCTGTAACTTGACCAGACACCAACAGAGGCACCAGTAAGGGAAGCCCTGCGAGTGCCCCAAGTGCAGGAACAGCTTCATGTGCTGCTCCAGCTCCATCCCCCATCAGAGGCCCCACGCTGGGCAGAGCCCTGATGACCCATGTTCCCAGTGATCTGCATTGGGAAGACAGTGAGCTGGTGGTGATTTTTTTTGGCTCTAATATTCTTTTGATTCATCTTCATCCCTTTAAAATTTACAAAATTGGAGTAACAACCAGACAGATTCTCACTTTTTACTAAAGGGACTAACAACCAACAGATTCATCAAAGGCATCTAAAACCTCACTTTTTACTAGTGCTTCAAGGGATCTGGGATTGAGGGAGGTACATGGGAGGGTTTTGGGGGTTATTTGGTGTATTTGTCTCCATCTTTTGCCACTCAAGGAGATGAGAGAGTTTGATCTGTCACCTCAAAACCACTCAATGCCACCGAAAATATTCATCCCCACCCACAATTATTGGATTCCACAGGTTCTCAGGGTGTAAAGCCTTAAGCTTTAGCTTTCATATTTTTCATATTCTGCGCTGCCTAGGTTTGTAGTTTTGAACTTCATATTAAGTGTTGGTGAGCTCTCTTCACAGAGGAGGTAGACAAAACAATTCCTTTTCTAGCTTGATACTAAGGGCAGTTGTTACAAGTTTCAGGCCCAAAAGCATAAACCAGGGTGGACTGAAGAGAGAAAACAAGAAGGACAGGGCTTCGTCATCTGAAGCTGTAATTGGACCATGAACCCAAGTATGGTGATGGACCTCAACTTCTAAAAATGTGAGACCTTGTGATCAGTTGTCCATTTTTGTGACCATTTTTGCTCCATCTTGGGTGTACTTTTGGCCAGGCTCTTGTACTGCCCAAGGTGTATCCTTTAAGGCCTTTAATAAACTTTATTCTTAACTCTGTCTCGGCTCTGTTCTAGGTCAGCCTTCTGAAGGCATCAGGTGGAATGGGGTTGGAAGGGGATTGGGCCAAGTGGGATGCAAATCAGGAGGGGTGAGATGGGCATTGGATGGGGCAGGATGGATGTGATGGAGTTTGGGAGGTGTGAAATGGGGGAAATAGGGCTTGGGAAGGGGGTCTTGATGTCCAGCATGGATGGGATGGGTTGGGATTGGGACTGGGGAGGTGGGGTGGGGTCTGCAATGAGACAGTCAAAGTTTGGGGATAATGAACAAAGGGGGAGCCCATTACTGAGTGAGTTTTTGGATATTCCACGTTCCTGCAGAGATTTTGGGGTATCTTATGTTTCTGAGGTGGTTTTTGGGCACTCCCCAAGTCTTAGGGGGTTCCTGAGAGCAGCTCCATGGAGCCCCACTGCCAGGAGTGGTTGCCATGGGCATGAGCTCAGAGCTGTAGCCAGAGTGCGTTGCCTCAGTGCTGGAGAGCAGAGAAATGATGAATGGCCCCAGACATCTCCAGTGTGCGTTTGGTGTCAAGATGAAAAATGAGGGATGGGACCACTATGCTTTGAGATGATTTATTGCTCAAGTAGCTCGATAAGATATCAGTCTCAAGGCATGAGATTAGTAGAGGAGCAACAAGTCAGCCATAGCTTGTGGAAGTCAGAGTTTCTTCTCTGCACAGAAATATATAACATTTTGGTCCAATAGGCCAATGGAAAACTGTTCAGACTATTCACTGAGTCCTCATAGAGGTGTAGCGAACGTCGTTTATTTCTATCTTTAGCACACTTTTGTAGGGTCTGACAGGGTTCGCGGGGCTTAACAAGCTACTATTGGTTAACACATATTGTTTACATTCTTTTGCATGTACACCATGCCATTGTTTTTCTTTATTCTCACTGTTCCAGGAGAATTTCAACGACACTGCCTTTAATATTGTCACCTGAATTAAAAGCTGGGCTGTGCAGACAGGCTTTTACTAAAATATCATGCTTTTACTCTATTAAAGTATTTCCCTACATAGGGAATATACATACAGTAAATACAGGATATGTTATAATACACAGAGTCCTAAGACCTTTCTTTTGTTGCCCAGGGTGTGCAGGGCATACGGGAAGAGACGGAAATGGGTGCTTGTGCTCAGCAACCTGTCAGGGCATGCCGTGGTGCAGGGAAAATGGCCAGAAACCCTTGGCCTTTGGTGGTTCTGCTGAAGGCACAAGCCCTGTCCCATCCAGGAAGCGCCATCTGTGTCCTGCTGCCCGTGTGGTGCTGGCTGGGTTGCTGAGGGCTCCCAGGTGCCTCTTGATCCAGCTCCTCTGGAGCTCCTGTGGGGCTGCAGCGCTGCTGCTGGGCCAGGCTGGGGGAGACGCTGAGGGAACAGGGCACTGGGAGGCTGTAAATGGATGAGGGGCTGTGCAGGCCCAGACGGGACAAAACCGTGGGAAGGCGTGAGGGGGATGTGTGGAGGCTGGAGGCTCCAAGGGGACAGGAGGCCCCTGAGGGGCCGGGGTGGTGGGAAGACCTGAGGAATTGGGTGTCAGAGGCCATAAGCAGCCCCCGGGCAGCCGCCTTGTTCCTGACACCCGGCTGCTCCGGTGCTTCCACAAAATGTCTCCCAGGCCTGCAGCAGAAGCCCTCGAGGCTGGGACACCAGCCCTCCAGGAGGGTGGGGAAAGCCCAAGGTGCCCAGGCTGGGCTGGCTGGGGACATGGAGGGCAGGGGGGTGCTGCCAGGCCACGGCCACTGGGTGCCTCCAGGAAGGGGCAGTGGGCAGAGGCAGGGCTGGCCACCAGCCCAGGCCCTCACGGCTGCCCAGGCCACGGTGCTGTGACCGAGGCCCCCCTGACACAGAGCTCGGGACCCACAGAGCTGCTGCCACCATGGGGAGGGTGGCGATGTCTCCTCGAGCAGGGCTGCAGAGTCGCTGCTGCTGAAGAGGCTCTGGAGCCACAGAAACAGCAGCAGAGTGGGCACAGGAACAGCAGCACCCCGAACGTCGGCACCTGCACAGTGAGGTGTCCGCAGCAGCCGGGTGCCAAACGGGGAGGCTGTGGGCACAGCTGCCTTTGGTTTGGCAAAAGGTTTCAGCAGAGTTGGCCACAATGGCTTTCTCTTCACTTGCAGCCTCACAGCAACACTGGGCAGCTTCAGCTGCAGCCTGTGCCCGTGACTGACTTGGGTGGCCGTGCTTGAGGGTGGGCTCCCCTTCCACACTCAGGTGTCCCAAGGCAGCGGCATTGGTGCCATCGTGAGAGAGAGACACTGATGGGGTTCGAGCCTTGTGCTACACCTGCCCTCCCTCTCTTCTGTGAAGGCATCTTAATGACAGAGGCGTCAGCTCTGAAACTAAATCCTGGACTTGCTTAGAACAATGGAAGAAGCAGCATGCGCTGAAAAAAAGCAGGGACTTACACAGCTCAGTTTTGCTCTCCACTTGGGGAACCACAGAATTCCAGAGCACCTTGTGTTGCAAAGAATCATAAACATCATCCAGTTCCAACCACCCTGCCATGGGCACAGGTGGTGTGCAGACACAACTGTCACTAGAACTGGAAGAACATTTCTCCATGTTTACCTTTTCTTCTCCTGGATTTCAAGCAAAGATGAAAAAATCATCTGGTGAATCACAAATGAATATTGTAGCTCACAGAATTAGGAGCAGGAGTCTCCAGTGGCCCATGGTGTGTCCATTCAACCATTGTTAGATCGTCCAGTTGGACTCAGCCTGGTGCAGCCTGGGCACAGGCACCAGGCTGGTCCATTTCAGCATCCCAAAGTCTTTGTGGTTCCCTGTGCACCCATTGCCTCCTGAATCCATTCTTGAATTCCCAGTTACTGCTGTGCAGGACATGAGAACACAGGAATAGCTTGTTTGGCTCATTCTTGTGTTCGCTGCTCCTGCCTAAAGTAATCATCAGGACTACATGCTGATGTAAAGATATAGCCAAACAGCAAAGATTTTTTCTTTAATGTCTAATACTAAAACCTTGTGTGACTGTTCAGACACTCTAAAATCCAGGGTGAAAATGACAGCTTTGGTATGGAAGAATCCTAGAAATTTTGACATGTGATTTTTCTAATCAAGGATTTTAATGCCAATGCGGAAACTACAAAAATATTAAAACTTTTCATTTGTAACCCCTTTGAAATGGCATCAGCACACTTACAGGAGACAGGGTGTGACAGCAGGGACAGTACTTGGCAGTTCATGGCTTCAGATGTGGGAGATAAATATTTTGCCTGGGTTCAACCTGAAGTTCATGTTTTCCCAGGGTTTTGATTGACTGGTCATTGCAGGTAAATTTAATAAATGCAAAAGGATGTAAAAGCACAATTTCTGGAGAATGTGCACCTGGGAGAAAATTGGGAGAAAACCTTGAACACAGCCAGCAGGCTCTGGAAAAATTTTAAAAAGTTAAAATTAAAAATAGATGTAGCTCTGTGATTGTCCAGGCAGGACTTTTTGTGTCTGGGGAAAATGTCTGCCTTGTACCAGCTGCACACAGACAGACAGGCAGCAACTGAAGCCTTGAACATCAGAGAGTGGGCTAATGTTTCTCCCAGAAAAACAGACCGAAGATCAGACTGAAATGTGACAGTGCCTCCGTACAATCAAACCATCCTAGGAAACTCAGCAGCTGATGGTGTTTTTGTGCTACTGCAAACCCCTTCCATGGAAAACCTCATTCCAGGAAGGAGCAACATCATCTGACAGATAGCAAGTGGCCAGCAGTAGCTCCAGGAGCTTCCTGCAGGAAGGAGCCCAGCCCCCAATGCACATGGGCTTTGGCTGCCCTCTGGCACAGAAGCCCCCCAGGGGCACAGGTCTCTGGGGCAGGAGATGGGCACCAGCACTGCCAGGGCTCGGGGGGT